GGTTTTCTTTATTGATTTGACTTGGCCAGCCCTGCCTTGGAGAGCCTGGAGATGGAGTCCCAGCAAGGACTCTGTTAACGATGGCCCTTCCCTGCCAGGAACTTGGCTTGTAACGTCTCAGCGAATCCTTACGACAGCCCTAAGAGGTAGGGACAAGGAGTCACCTTGTTTATTTATTTACTTATTCCCTTTATTTTTAGTTGACACATAATAGTGGTACATATTTATGGGATACAAAGGAACATTTTGATACATATATACAATGTCTAATGATCAAATCAGGGAAACCTGTCATTTATGGCAACATGGATGAACCTGGAGGACATCATGTTAAATGAAATGAGCCAGGCATAGGAACTTAAATCCTGGCCGGGCATGGTGGCTCATGTCTGTAATCCCAGCACTTTGGAAGGCCAAGGCAGGCAGATCACTTAAGGTCAGGAATTCGAAATCAGCCTGGCCAACATGGTGAAACCCTGTCTCTACCAAAAAGTACAAAAATTAGCCAGGCATAGTGGTGGGCGCCTGTAATCCCAGCTACTCGGGAGGCTGATGCAATAGAATCACTTGAACCCGGGAGGCGGAGATTGCAGTGAGCCGAGATCGCACCACTGCACTCCAGCCTGGGCGACAGAGTGAGACCCTGTCTCAAAAAGAAAAGAAAAAGAAAAATAGCACATGTTCTCACTCATATGTGGGAGCTCAAAAAAGTTGAGCTCATAGAATCAGAGAGAGAGGATTTGGGGTATTGGAGGCTGGGAAGGAGAGCGGGAAGGGGAAGATGGGAGGAAGTTGGTTAACGGACATGAAATTGCAGCTAGATAGGAGGAGTGAGTCCTCAGTTGCAGGGTGACTTCCGTTAACAAGAATTTATTGTGACCTCATTTTATAAAGAATAGAACAGAGGTGCAGACGAACTAGGTAATTTGCTTAAGAACAAGTGAAGCAAATTGCTGGTGACTCTTGCCTTGATGGATGGGGCTTGGACCTGTCCCATCAGGTGCCAGGGCCCAGCCATTGTAGCTGCCTCGTGTCCCCTCTGGGGCAATGCTCAGCTGAAGGATGTCCCATGGAACGAATGAACCACAGATACTGGTTATGAAGGGCGGCAAGCAAGGCTTCTGCCTCTGGGGTTGAGGGCAGGCACAGTGCCCTAGGCCCACAGGCAGGTCAGCATCTTGGTTGGAGCGGCATGGGCTCCCGGGGACCCAGCACAGGCCCACCTCCACTGACTGATTCTGTCCATCGTCGAAAGAGTTTCCTCAAAGCATGGAAGGACTGGGGTTCTGGCGATTTGGCTTTAGGACCTGCTGTGGACCTCAGCTCTTCCCCCGTCCCCTGGCCCACCCCAGGATGCACAGCACATGGATGGATGCAGTGCTGGGCCAAAGCTGGTCCTCCCAGTTTTCCTGCACGCACCTGAGAGTCCCCCTGGAGCTGCAGGACTGTGGTGATGGAGGACAGCACTACTGAGGAAGACTTTAGCTCTGGCTGCTTCTTATAGTGGACGAGTGGAGACCCCAGGCCCAGCCTGGTGAGGCTTAAATAGGGACTGTGGCAAGATGTGCTTATGCAAAGGGAGGGCTCATTCATCATTCGTAATTGGTTGAATAACAAATGAAAGCTGATTAACAAGTAGAAGAAACACAGAGGGAGGTCTCTAGAGATGTGCCGTAGGGCTCTATCAGCACCTTCTCCCTGCTCCTCGTGGTTGCTGATGTCTCGGATGGGGCGCAGGTGGCAGAGTTATTAAATCCGAGGATGACGGGGAGCTGGAAGGATTGGTGAGAGTGCTTCATAGACAGGCTTAGGATCTAAATATATCTCAACAGTCAGAATGGTGGGTTGAAGCTAGCAAAATACAATTGAGTAGAACCCAAAATACTTTACTGGGGTCCAAATAGCCAAGCTCTCCAAGCCTGTGATGGTGAGGCAGAGCTAGGTGGTTGCACATATGACTTGGCAAGCTGTAGCGTGAGCCAGCAGTGTGACAGAGCTGCATCCAAAATGCACAGTGGTCTTGGGTTGCATTCATGGAAGTATTGTCTGCAGAAGAAAGGAGGAGACCCTGCTCTACCCTTTCTCAGATAGGGCACTGCCAGGGTCTTGCGTTAAGATCTTTATGCCCTACTTCAAAAGGACTTTGATTAATCAAGTAAGACTCCAAAATGAATTCTATAGCTGAAAAATAGATGTGCTAGGCTGGGCACGGTGGCTTATGCCTGTAACCCCAGCACTTTGGGAAGCCAAGGTGGGCAGATCATTTGAGGTCAAGGGTTCGAGACCAGCCTGACCAACATGGTGAAACCCCATCTCTACAAAAATACAAAAAAATTAGTGGGTATGGTAGCGCATGCCTGTAATCTCAGCTACTTGGGAAGCTGAGGCAGGAGAGTCGCTTGAACCTGGGAGGCAGAGGTTGCAGTGAGTTGAGATCGTGTCATTGCACTCAAGCCTGGGTGACAGAGCGAATCTCTGTCTCAAAGGAAGGAAGGAAGGAAGGAAGGAAGGAAAAAGGAAAGAAAGAAAGAAAGATGTTCTAAATGTATTGTTTGCTTCTTAAGAAATATTTTCCATGATTATAGTAAATAGTTTCTCTTTGCAAAAAGTAGAGAAAGCACAGAAGAGGGTAGAGATGGGAACAAAAATCAACCATAACCTTCCTTTAATCTTCCCACCCAGAGATAAGTACTTTAACATTTTGGTGTATTTCCTAGTAGTCTGTTAAAAAAATGTATTTTAAAATAAAATTAGAATGGTGTTTATATATAGTCTGTACCCTGTTTTTACTTAATATGACAAGGTGAGCATCACTCTTTTTTTTTTTTTTTTTTTTAAGACAGAGTCTCGCTCTGTCGCCCAGGCTGGAGTGCAGTGGCATGATCTCGGCTCACTGCAACCTCCGCCTCCCGAGTTCAAGCAATTCTCCTGCCTCAGCCCCCTGAGTAGCTGGGACTACAGGCGTGCGCCACTACGCCTGGCTAATTTTTGATTTTTTAGTAGAGACGGGGGTTTCACCATATTGGCCAGGCTGGTCTCGAACTCCTGACCTCGTGATCCACCCGCCTCAGGCTCCTAAAGTGTTGGGATTACAGGCGTGAGCCACCGAGCATCCAGCACAACCACACGCCTCAGTGGCTGCTGACTAGTCCGTGGTGTGGATGTCCCCAAAATTCATAATTTGTTTCCTCCTTCCTGTACTGTCGGCTGTTTGGGTTGTTTCCAGTTTTTTTCTGCGTTATAAATAATCCTGTGATTAACTTCCTTGTACATAAATCTTGGTCTGCGCCTCTGATTATTTCTGTAGGATCAATTCCTAGAAGTAGAATTCCTGGGTCAAGGAATATAAATGTTCTTAAGGCGCCGGCACCGTTCTGCTAAGGCGTCCCCCGGGAAGGTTCAGCTTCTGTTAACATCTGCCCATCAGCCCCCACCAGCCAGCAAGGCCAGCTCGGCTGTTATCCCTAGATGCCACCTTCGCCAAGGTAATAGGTGAGAATGTTGCCCCTTCAGGCAGGTTCCCACTACACCAGCTCATGGTTTTCTTCCCAGCATGATCAACGCCATTTTGGGTTTGCTGCTATTGGGAACCTTGTCTGTTTCGTCTGGCCCAAAGTGCAGAGGGAAGGACTGTTCAATGAATGAAAGGAAGTCAAATGGGAGCTGCCTGGCAAAAAGAACCTGATGGTTTAGGCCTGGGGGAGAGCAGGATGGGTCAGGGCAGAGCCAGAAGCCAGCTTGCCTGATTTAAATGCTGGTTCTTACCTTAGCTGTGTGACCTTGGGTAAGGTACTGACCCCAAAGAGGCTGCAGGTCCTCCATCTGTTTGGGGACTGAGTGTCACAGAGGGGAAGCAAAACCACGAAACGTGCAGAGTACTCAGCCTGGCATAGGGTGCGTAGCATAGTTAGTACTCACTTAATGGGAGATATTTTTCTTAGAATCATTATTCTTATTTCTTTTGTCTATATGAAGAACGCTTTTATGAATCATGGGAGAACTTCCTCAACTCCATCCTCTGGTTTGCCCCCAAAATATTTATTAAATGCCAACTTTGTGGGCGAAGAACATGTACCGCACAAGCAAATAGCAACAAGATGCCCTCAGACCTAGACTCCCGGCCAGTGGGGGATTCAGGCAAGGCACTGAAGATGGATTGGTTTAACTCCAAAGGAAAAAAATGTGCCAAGAAAAAAGCAAAAGCAGACCTATTCTACTCCTCTAGCATGTGGAAAGGAAACTCTTCTCACGAGTAATCAAACCTGTATCAATGTCAACAACGTGACACCCCTTTTCCCAGATTGTTAGCAAAGACTTAAAAAAATGCTAACACACAATGCTGCGAAGGTTGTGGTGAAACAGGCAGTCTTTGAAACCATGCCATAAAATCCAATGTGCTGTAGGCCAGAGAGATAAACATGCTGAGAAGTGGCTGCCTTCATCTTCCCCGTAACGGGACTGCTGAGGGCAGTGGGGTGTGGGGATCCTGCCCTTTCCTTGCAGACAGAAGCGAGGCGTTTCATTTCCTGCCTCACCAGGCCGCTGTCTCTGAAGGGACAGTCTGATCAATAGATGAGTCAGCCTCTGGCCTGTTCATCCTCTTCCTTCTCATTGAACATTCCTTAGAGATTCTTGTGTTTTTTTTTTTTTTTTTTTTTCCTTCAAGGACCCATTGGCTACCTGGCCCACATTTTAAAACATCTTTTTGTTGGTGGTTTTTGTGGGCTATTGATCCTGTTGGCTTGTTTTCTGAGATCTGCTTCATTTCGAATGTTCCTAAAGGGAACTTCAGGACAAACCAGGCCTTCTCGCTCCCCCCACCCGCTCTGCCGCTGCACAGGGGCCAGGCGGAGGCAGTGGGCGAGTGCTGGCTGGCACAGGGCCTCATCTCCAGGTTTTCATCTGAGCTGTGATTTCCCTAGGCAGGTGGGAGGCAGGCGTCCAGCAGAGCCGTGCTCTGCAGAGGGGAAAAATCCCAGCACAGCTCTGTCGAGTCTTTCCTGCTGGATTCCTGGGGTGGGTACGAGCCCCTCACCTGGGCCCTGTGCACTCATTGATCATGTAACTGGGGTCCCTGCTTCTTTTATCTAGAGCTGGGAGGAGAAGTCGTACATGTCAGGCAGCAGGGTTCTGGCCCCTACCCCGATTCCCTTATCTCCAGCCGGGGCCGGGGCCCACCCTCCATGGACTTTCTCTGGCGCCCCCAGACACCGAAGCGGCAGCAGCGACAGCCCGGGTGGTGCTTCATGCTGGATGTGTATTTTCAGAAGCTGCGGGGGACGTCATGTGTATAAAATTAGCATTGCCTTGTTGGCCCCTTTCAGACTAATTCGGAGTGAAATGTTTTAGCAATGGTGGGCTGATTCTATCAGGAGGACAAGAACTAATTAAATTCCCTCTGACCATCAAGCAGTAAATTATTTATATCCAGACAGATGCAATCTAATCTCTAGCATCCAACGAAACCCAACATGCATGCTACTTGATTTTTCAAGGGGAGAGGAAGAAAAAAGACAAGGCTCAAGTACTCAAGAGAGGAGAGAGACGGCGGAGAGAGCCACAGGACTCTGGCCCGAGAGGCACTCAGCTCCCTGTGTGGATGGGGAAGCCGCAGACTCGGGTGAGGGCTCAGGACTTCCCGTTCCTGGTTCCCAGTAGTCTCAGCCGGCGTGCTATTCCTTGCAAGCAGGAATAAAGAAAAGAGGAGTCAACAAACCATTCTACAAGGCTTTGTTTCACACAATCTCAGCTGTTTAGGGGGAGAATTCATTTCAGTAATGAATTTGCTCATGCATGTCACAGACTTACTGGTCTGCCCCTTTTGGTGGCCTTTGGTGGCTGCTGAGTGGCTGCCAGTTTGCATTTTGGAATAGAGTGATTAGCTTGTCCCTATGAGGTGAGCTGTGTGGGCTGCTGCCCATCTATTCTGGTGCCCATCCAGCAGTGGGACTCATGGCACCATGCATGGGAAGCCCAATGTCCCTCCCCCTGATGCCAGGGATGACATCTTTGCTGGGTGTGCCTGCCCATCCCCACCAGACACAGGTGCGGACGGGAGGCTGGGCCTGCTTTGGGTCTAAGTCCCTACCCTCATGTGCCCCTCCCTTGGGAAGAGGTGAGGGCTGCCCTCAGGACGCCGGTTGCTGCTCTGTGACTTGGGCTGGGATAAAGAGAGGGCTCCTTTTGCAGAGTTTGCTGTGAGGACACCAGCTTCAATGCCCAGCTGGGTGGTGCTTGCCTTGAGGGGTCTGCATGTCCTGGGCACTCACTGCTGTCACTGACACACCAGGTTTTAGCGGTGACGCCAGCTGATGGAAAGGTGCTGACCCAGTGGCCTCATGGAGCTGGGGTGTGGGGTCAACTTTGTTCATGTTTCTCTGGAGTCTCCTGAGTTTGGCAACCCTTGCTCTCTGTCATCTGAATCTGCAGTGGTGGTCTCTGCTCACCCTTAATCCTTGGGGGTGTCTGGAGCAGAGAAGGGTCTAGGATTAGGAGAGTCTGCGGAAGGGCTGACTGTCCAGTGTTTCTTCCTGGAAGCTGGGCTTGCCGGCTGCTCAGTCCCAGCAAGGCTGGGCTCTATTTCTGGCACCCCTGACACTCCCTTTGAACCCTTGGAGCACGGTGGTGAACTTAAGTCCCCAGGGGCATACATGGAAGTGATCTTTTTTAAATGGCAAAAGGACCCTTTGCAGAGCAGTCACCTTACTAAGTTCTAAGCATCTGTTCCAAATCTCTAAAGATTTTGAGACTCCTCTTTTGGACTTACTGTGGTGCAAGGTATATTTGTTTGAATTGTGGACACATCCTCCTTTGAGGGTGGAGCTGATTTTGGGAGAGGCCAGGTGCCCCCAGCTCTGTCTGGTGGGGAGCCTGGCCCATAGAGTTGGCTGGGGCCCAAATGCTGGCTTCACTTCTTATTACGTGTGTGGTCTTGGACAAGTTATTGAATCCCCGTGAGCTTCAGTTTCCCCAACTGTGAAATGGGATCAAGCATCCTTCCTACCCCCGGGGCAGCTGAGAAAAGGAGAGGACACAGGTGAAGTCCTCCGCACGCCACCCAGTGCCAGGCTGAAGCTCAGGAAGCCCCTGCAGCTGCGGCTCTCGGGCTGGCCGTGCTGTCATGGGTGGGGAAGTGGGTGCGGGCGTCTGTGGATGAAGGAGACTGAACGGCTTGCCGCCAGGAGTATTCTGGCTGTGGTGAGGTGAGGTTGTCGTGACAGTGCTGGCTGGCAGTCTTAGATTTGGGGAGTTGGTGCTGGAACATAAGCCGCTGACCCTCATGGTCCCTGGGTGCCTATTCCTTGATGTTCCTGGACACGCCATTTCCGGGTGGGCAGTAGCTGCTCATTACGTGCCCACCATCCCAGTAAACATAAAAATGAAATTGCTGTTTCTTGAGTACCTGTTCTGGCTGGTCCTGGGGCTACAGTCGAGGAGAAGTAAAGTGGTTGCCCTCTCACGCCTTCCACCAGCAGGACAGGGAGGGCACCTCATCTGCAGTGGGATGGAGAATGAAGCATGAATACCTGCGTGAGTTCACTGCTCTGCAGTTTGCAAAGTATCTGTGTATGTGAGAGCTGGGCATTCTTAGGCTTTTGGGGTCTCCCTCGGCCTTTCTCTGTGCTTTGCCCCGGCTCAGTGACCACCCAGCAACCATTTCAGCCCAGTCACTTCTACACTCAGTCTTTTGGGGCTGGGATGGAGATTGACGGTGGGTGGGGGAGGCTGTTACTTTGTACCTGATTTTCTAGGAGTTGCTGAAGACGCAACAGGGGTGTCACAAGATCCGTCCACCCACCACCCACCCACCCACCTATTCATCCACCTACCCATTCATTCATCCATCCACTCACCCACCCATCCTTCCACCCATCCACTATTCACCATCTACCCATCCATCCATCCACCCATTCATTCCCACCGACTATCTACCCACCCATCTATTCATCCACTCACCCACCCACCTATCCATCCACCTACCCATCCTCCTTCCATCCACTGTTCACCATCCACCCATCCATCCATCCACCCATTCATTCACCCATTCATTTGCCACCCACCCACCCATCTATTCATCCATCCACCCACCCATCCATCCACTATTCACCATCCACTCATCCATCCATCTACCCATTCATTCACCTATTCATTCACCACCCACCATCCACCCACCCACCCACCCATCCATCCACCCATCCACTCACTCACTATTCACCATCCACCTATCCATCCATCCACCCATGCATTCACCACCAACCATCGACCCACCCACCCACCCATCTATTCATCCACTCACCCACCCACCCACCCATCCATCCACCTACCCACCCTCCTTCCATCCACTATTCACCATCCACCCATCCATCCATCCATCCATTCACCCATTCATTCGCCATCCACCCACCCATCTATTCATCCATCCACACACCCACCCATCCTTCCACCCACCCACCCTCCTTCCATCCACTATTCACCATCCACCCATCCATCCATCCACCCATTCATCACCCATTCATTTGCCATCCACCCACCCATCTATTCATCCATCCACCCACCCATCCTTCCACCCACCCACCCTCCTTCCATCCACTATTCACCATCCACCCATCCATCCATCCACCCATTCATTCACCCATTCATTCGCTACCCAGCCACCCATCTATTCATCCATCCACCCACCCACCTATCCATCCACTATTCACCATCCACTCATCCATCCATCTACCCATTCATTCACCCATTTGTTCGCCACCCACCCACCCACCCACCTATTCATCCACCCACCCACCCACCCACCTACCCATCCTTCCACCCATCCACTATTCACTATCCACCCATCCATCCATTCACCACCGACCATCCACCCACCCACCCATCTATTCATCCACTCACCTACCCACCCACTCACCCATCTATCCACCTACCCACCTATCCTTCCATCCATCCACTATTCACCATCCACCCATCCATCCATCCACCCATTCATTCACCACCCACCCACCCATCTATTCATCCATCCACCCACCCGTCCATCCACTCATCCATCCACTATTCACCATCCACCCATCTACCCATTCATTCACCCATTCATCCACCACCCAACCATCCACCCACCCACCCACTCACCCATCCGTCCACCCACCATTCATCTATCTACCCATCCACCTATTCACCATCCACTATCCACCCATGCAAAATCCACTACCCACCATGTACTATTCATCAGTCACCATCCACCTACCCATCTACTATCCACCCATCCACCACCCACCACTTACCATCCATCCATTCACTTATCCACCCATCCATCCAATCATCCATCCCATCCACCCATTCACTATCCACCATCCACCTCACCTGCCACTCATCCACCCATCTACCAACTACCATCTACCACCCACTCACCACCCACCACCCACCATCGACCTACCATTTGCCATCTACCCATACATCCATTCTATAAATAATTAGTAAACACTTGATGCATGCTAGCTATTACTTTAGGCACCAGTAAGACAATCAAGGGAAAAAAAGACAGGCAACCCCCGCCCCTTCCATCCTCAGGGAGCTCTGTTCCAGTGAGAACAATTAATGTGCTAGAGGGTGAGGTCATCAGTGCTGCTGCCTGTGTAAGACTGGGGCTCCCAGGCCTGAGACCAGCCTGGCCAGTGCTCTCAGGGTCTCCTGGTGAGGACTCTCAGGAGTCCAGCTGCTGTCCCTCAGCTGAGCACCTGGCATGGACAATGCCTGGTAAATGCTTGCTATGTGAGGGCACCTGCCCATGTTGAATCAACACAGCCTCTGGGCCTCAGGGGTCCTGCTCCTTAGCAAGCTGCCCCTCTGTGCCCTCCATGTTGGCCCTGCGTCCCCTGGCATGCCCCCACACCCTTTGTCAATGTCCTTCTTGTGCAGCTGGCCTCGGTCCCTCCTGGTTCTCTCTCCCTCCTGCTCCCCGCAGGCCCACACAGCCTCCGCGCACTGTGGGTGGTGAGAATATGTGGTTAACAGGTTGACTAACCCAATCCCCGCAAGGCAGGGGAAGGCTGCTCCAGTAAATTTCCAAATGTGTCCGGGCTGACAATTTTGGTTTCCTTTCAAGCAGTGAGCGCATGGAGCCTGGCCGGGAGGGAAGTGTTCAGGGGCCCAAAACCACTTTGGAGGGCTGTTCCCGATTGCGGTCTTGCCTCCCTCCTGGGCAGCTGGGAAGTGTGGGCCCTGGTGTTTCTGCTTTGGAAGATCCTCCCCATCTACCCACACACTGGGGCCCTCAGCCCTGCCCCTCAGCTGCCCCCAGCCAGTCTCTGCTCCTGGACCCTCCGGACGGTTCCCTGCTCTCTGCCAGTCACCAGACACTGGGTCGGCTCTCATGCACACAGGGCAGGAGATCCTGGCTCTCACTCCCCCTGTGTTAGCAAATATTTTTCTGAACTCCAATTTTCCTTCCTGCTCCTGTGCCAGGCCCCTCAGAGCAAAGGCGGCCACCCAGGTAGACCCCCCGGGCTGGGCCACGCGGCTCTCTCAGCTCCTCTGAGGGGATGTCTTTCCTGCTCCCAAACAGTGAACAAAACACAAATCAGCCTCCCCGTGACATCACAAGCTGGTCTGCGATGGACCCTGTGA